CTAGCTGCTAATAACATCTTCCCCTTTCAGATGAACTTTCATTAATTCTGCATGTTCCTTGAATATACCTAGTCATTTACAAGTTGTCTCTCCCATTGCTTGAGGGCACAGGCTGCTTTTGGCCTTTAGCCTCAGCTCTTAACTGGGTGCCAGCCACGTTCAGTAGTGTTTGCCAACTGACCCACTGTCTAGAGGGGAAGGGAGAACGTGTTATCTTTGAACGCTCCATCCCCCACGAGCCTATGTAGCATTCAGCTAGTGATAACATCACCCTAGAGTAGGCTCTGATAGGATGGAGCCTTGGTGGCTTGCCCGGGAGAGGCTTGGTGTGAACACTCTCATGAGAGAGATAAGAAATGGGAAAACCCCGGCAGGGTCCGAGAAGACAGGAGCGCGTGGAGGGCCAGCCAGGAAGCTGCCTCGTAACTTCCCATACCTCTTACCGCTGCCAACGGGAGCCTTTCTCCCTCTTCTGTGCTGAGCAGTCACGGCGGGGCATGTCGGGCCAGCTGCTATCGTCATCTCACCAAGTGATGGTCCTGGGACGCCAGAGCTTCAGAGATGCAGGGTGGAGCTTGGCCAGCTTTCTCACCCTGGGCTGCTGAGTTCCATCCCTGGCCTGTGTGGTGGAGAAGCCCTGGAGAGGAGCCCTGTCAACCTGTTCTCTCTAATCTACTATCTTCTTACCCACCAATAAGGGAGGGTGAGAATGCATGACCTAAATTCCTGGAGGATTGGGAGGGTGTAATTCGAGAAATGGTGTTGTGGCTTGATTCTTATCTTTTGTCATATTTCTTCCATTCCCTTTCAAGCCAATGTCCTTCTGCGTTACTATTAGCATGTGTACGTTCTGACCCAGTCCCCCAGAACCAGGACTGCTAGAAAATCCTTAAAGGATTCTGGGGTACCCGGGTGGGGTTTCCTCTTTCCTGCCACCAGAATGAGCCCCCACAGGCTGCGCTCCTTCCATTTGTTAGGGGCCAGTGACTAGCACCCCAGTTCAATTTAGCTGCTTACACCGGGTGACTTTTAGCATAGTGGATAGAATGCCAGGCCTGGAGTCAGGAAGACCTGTGTTCAGATCTGGCCTCAGATACTTACTAGTTGTGTGACCCTGGGCAAGTCACTTAACCCTGTTTGCCTCAGTTTCCTCATCTGTAAAGTGAGTTGGAAAAGAAAATGGCAAACCATTCCAGTATCTTTGCCAAGAAAACCCCCAAAGGGGGTCAGGAAGAGTTGGACACAATTGAACAACAATTTATTTCAAAGATATAGAAGAACAAATGTTTGGACATTTCTCCCTACGTTATCTTGGTCTCTGGAGGAGAAGGCACAAAACTTAACTGTTCCTCCACAGTTCTGGTCCCACTGAGTCCATGCCCAGGCGTGGCAGTCACACCAGGGGAGTCCTTCTGCTGAGCTGGGGTCCCAAAGGGCGCTCTTTGGGGTACTGAGGCTGCACTGGCTGCAGATCCCAGCCTGGAGTCCTGCTCTGGGATTCCTGTGGCCTGTCCAACTCTCCCATGTTTGGGGATTCCGTTCCCTGCCCCCGGGACAGCACAAAATGAACAACGGGCCAAGAACCAAGGCCCATCTTACAGGGGCCGTCTGACTTCAGATGGCGTCCACCATTCCCTTACATCACGGCCTGCCACCTAATAGCTAACATTCATGTCCCTCTCACTATGTGCCATGCATTGTATGAGCACTTTACAATTATTAACTCGTGTGATCCTCACGAGAACCTGGAAGGTTGGTACAGCAGACAGGGTTAAATGACTTGCCCAAGGTCACATGGCTAGTGTTTGAGGCCAGATTTGAACACAGGTCTTCCTGATTCCAAGTCCAGCACCAAGGTGAACATTTTTTTTAAAGCTAGGTTGCAGGTAGATTGGGCAGCATTGCATCTCTTGGCTCATTTTCACCGGCTGTCCCCTGGGTCTAGCATGCTGGCTCTCCTCATCTCTGTCTCCTGCATGCCCTTCTCACGTCCCAGCCCAAACCCCGTCTTCTCCAGGGAGCCTTTCCTGATTCCTCTCAGTTCCAGGCTGTCCTGCTGACGATGTTCTGACTTGTACCATCTATAGCTCCTTCGGTCCATCTTGCTTGCAGTCTCCCCTGTAGAGCAGGAGCTCCTAGAGGGCAGAGACTCTCTTGTGCTTTTCTTTGCATCCCCAACACTTAGCACAGTGCCTGGCACACAGTAGGTATTTACTTAATACCTTATCTCTATCACTTTGACTTTGGCTCCTCATTTCCTTATTTATTTAAATGCTTACTGACTGATTTTAAATGCCACACGGGTTGTATATCATCCCAGAGGCCATAGGGAGTCACTGAAGTTTTTTGAGCAGGGGAGTAACCTGGTCAGGTTTTTTTTTGGGGGGGTGGGCAGCAGGAAGACGATTTCGGGGGTGGGCAGCAGGAAGA